CCTGTCCTGCCACATGAGTTTAGGAAGCTCGCAGGGTGGTCAACACTACTATATACAACACATTGTGAAGGTGGACCAATAAAAACTACACATATAACCAAAACCAGGCTGAGAGGACACCTGAACAGGCCTACTGGTGCTGTGGAGTCTAAACTGGGCCTCTTTCTTCAACTGAGCCAAACCCAGGAGGCTATAGGGCCTTCTGTTCCAGACTAGAGAGGGAGGGGTCAGTTGCACAACGCCACAGGGGACATGAGGAAAGGGGGCGAGAGGGAGAAAGAGAGAGCGAGAGAGTGAGGTGAGTGTTGTTAACAGCCAGGGCCCAACCTTGGCCGGTTGCAGGGCAGTGGAGCGGAGCAGCGCAGTGAATGTTCTCCATTTGATCTGAGGTTTTTTCCAAGCGCTCCTCAGGGAGCCAGTGTTCCATATTCCTCCTCCAGTAGAGCCTCCCCTCAGAATCAGCCCACAGTACGACACTCACACACACACACTCACGTTTCACCCACACACATTCACATATTTGTGCACACAAACACTAATCCACACTCATGACCCGATATATTCACACATAGACAAATATAAACATACACGAGACAATATAATGTCGTCCAACTGCCAGCAAAGTGCACACAAACTAGGGCAGGCGATTTTTCCGATTTTATCGATTAATTCGAATTTAATGTTTTTCCACGATTTTATGACCCGGTATATTCACACACAGACAAATATAAACATACACGAGACAATACAATGTCGTCCAACTGCCAGCAAAGTGCACACAAACTAGGGCTTTTATCGATTAATTCGAATTTAATGTTTTGCCACGATTTTATTTTTTAGAAATCGAGGAATCGCGATTTTGAATAGAAATATTACCAAATGTTAGAATTAGACACTTTGAGAATATGCCAGTGATAACAGTAAAGAGAAAAGAACGATCCGACTGCATGTTGGCGCACGTGATTAACCACTCACGTGACGCGCTCATATCACTAGGCGCCACTCACTCACACAGAATGAATGGCAGTGGAATAGGAAAAAAATGCAAGAATATGGGAGTGAACTTCTTTTAACTTGAGCACTTCGTTTTTAGAATGCCATTTCATGCATGAGACGCTGCAATTGATGAGAGTGCAACAGTCAAACCATGTTTACATAGAAAAAATAATGGAAAAGCAGCACAAGCTAATAAAAAACCTGTAACTACTGTATGTCTGATATTTCATGTTTGCATCATGGTGACAGGCTGAAAGCTGCTGTTGTTTTTATAGAACATTTATAGTTAATAGTCTACTGGTGTTATATCTTCAGTCATTTTGAATTCGTATTATATCTGAACATATAATATGTTTAAGACAAGCAAGATGTAGTTGTAGTTCATGCATCTTTTCTGAAAAGATACTTAAGTGATTTGTTTAACATTTGCATCATGTTGACAATTTCATTTGTGGTGCACTTGGAATAGAATTTTCTTAAAATAGAGGGTTAATAAAGAAACGCATAATTTTAATCATGTTGTAGTTACATTTTTAAGTTGACTAGTTAAAAATCGTAAAGAAATCGAGAATCGGTCAAACGTTCTGAAAAAAATCGAGATTTTAATTTTTTGACAAATCGCCCAGCCCTAACACAAACACTCTCACTTACACTACAATCCTGTAAACAGACATGATATCGGGACGCAGGGTCATTTACACTACCGTTCAAAATCTGGGGTCGGTAAGATTGATAAGAAATCGATAAGAAATTTTTGAGCACCAAATCAGCATATAAGAATAATTTCTGAAGGATAATGTGACACTGAAAACTGGAGTAATGGCTGCTGAAAAGTCAGCTTTGCCATCACAGAAATAAGTTACATTTTAAAGTATATTAAAACAGAAAAGGGTTACTAAAAATGCAATTATCTTTCATAATTGTAACTGTTTTTACTGTACTTTGGACCAAATGCAGACTTGGTGCAAAACAATTTTTAAAAAAATCTTACGACAACAGTGATAACCAAAACTTAATTTCTAGAAGTACAACTCAATGTTTATTCAACACAAAAATAATACACATTAGCTCATTCTTAAAAACATACAGTGGGGTCCAAAATTCTGGGACCGCTACTGAAAATGCTGTAATTTTGCACTTTTATAATTTAACACATTATATTATGAGCATAACTTGAGTGAAAAGTTATAAAATAAAACAATCATTTGAACTCGATTAATGTTGCTTTAATGACAGTAGAATTTGAACTGCATGAACTCCACAAGTAAAACTGATGAGGCAGGAACATCTGACTTTTTGTGCAAAGAGTCACATGATCAGTGTCAGAAATCTGTCTATTTGAGATTATCCAGAAATAGTGAAAAATCTTCACAACACATCATGTTTCTTTGTTTACATTAGTCAACTTCTCTATTTCTAGGCTTAACAAAAAGAGCCCCAGTGTAAATCTTAAGCAGAAAGAGAAAGAGAGCACAACAAGTTAGAGTGATATATAAGACAAAGTAGGAGGAGATGGAAACGCTAGGAGTTGAGTGTAATAGGGGAAGGCAGAGTCAAAGACATTTGGAGGGATGGAAAGGCAGTCGTTCCTCGTCTCCAATATCGTCTCCTGTGGAACTCATATTAGCAGCGATCAATGGCAGCGAGGGAGGAGAAGAAAAAGAGAAGGATGGAGGGACAGGCAGAGAAAGACAATGACGGTAGAGACGGGTAGCGACCATATCAGAGCTTATATTATTGTCCAGAAGCTAAACACGAGGACGGTGCACAAATACACGAGATGGACACGCTCAAACACAGGTGTAATTCTATAGCCACGGTGTCTACTGTTAAGGGAATAGATATTTCATTTCGTGGCATGGCGTGGCTGTGCTCGAATATTCCTGCTCTGACGGGCATGCGGTCATAATAATAACTGTAAATTGATAGTGTGGCTTTATGAGCCTTCTGCTGGTGTGCTGATATTGGCCAGGCTCTCCTTGCGGACATGGGAACCATCCACTGCTCTCCACAACAAGGCCTCCC